AACCATGATAGTTTCCAGGGGGAACCGTGAGGAGGTCTACCTGGTTGGGTATATTGCTAGCAATGGGATTCTCAGTCTCCATTACTAACAATCTCTTTCCCCCCACTTCCTGTCCGTGGTACTATTCATGTCTATAGGCGACGGTTACTACTTTTCGTTGTACGTTGTTCATTGGACCGTTAGCTTGTTTGTCATTCTTAATTGCATAAGAAAACCTAAAACTATTTTTCATTTTCACATAATAAAAAATACAACTTATTTGTGTGTTATCTATATTTAATTCTTTACTTTTTCAGTTGTCATCTAAACCGGTTTGATAGTTTACCCAGGCGTGAAAACGTAGCAATTAGACTCTTGTTAGATTACGTCACATTACATTTATAAATGTAGCATATATCTGGGTAAAGTCCGTCTGTCATAGCTATTTAGATCAGTTTTTAGTACATTGCCTCTCTCAATAGGAAGATTGATTGCATGTTGAATTAATTTAAATTTCATTCATGTTCATTCAAAAGCTATGTAACTTTAATATGCGATATATTACAAATATTACCATTATTAGAAATTTAAAAGTTTGTTTATAAATACACGTAACGTGTTTACAAATACAGAAGAGAGACAGGCTTCCTTGTAGTTTTAGATGGATATGGGGATTAAGACGTATATATGTTTGCTTTACAATATTCACAGACAAATTAGTATAGGTGTCTGCAAGTTTTAGGCCATCATAAAATATATTAGGTTGAAAATTTAACCTTTTTAACAGGTTGATACCAAATGCAGGTTTATCATTTAACAATATTCAATAATGCAGGACCTATTTTCATACTTACTGCAGTTTTACGAGTAATGAATAATCTGTGTAATCGTTTTCATATTCATAATTGCCTTTTACGGGTTATCGATACATAGTCGAAAATACACAGGATAACGGAAACGCTTTGATAAATATGGACAATGCAAAAAGCAAATTACTAACTAACTATCCTATTCTAGCATCGCATGACTCACCATCGACAAATCCAGCAGACTTTGTTTTTATTTGGGATAGTATTTATCCTATCTCTCAAGTCGGAGTATACAATGCACATTTACAAAATTTCATTACAATCGGTTGGGCGGTTTCGGAGAATAACGTGAGCGAATATTGAGATTTTTATATACTAAGATTTAGGTCATTCTATTTTCAAAAGTAGAGTATACAATTTTTTTTAGTGAATAAATGAATGTTTAGCCGAGTTTTGCTTGCCTGTAATATATAAAAATATAATGTATTTATACGTATATGACATAAATATAACTACGTACCTGCTGTGGTGTTGGTTTGTCAACAAATAAATGGGAAACTGGTGCCAAATTCTTATCTTGTGTTATTCCAATAACAACATTATGAACTTTAATCGGTACAGTGTTATTAGATCATGAATTTATAAGTTTTTGTGTCTTGGAACTAGGTATTATCAAACTAAGCAAACATTTACAAAATTACAATCTCATTTTAACAGGTTCGTAAAAATTTCCGTAACGTAGCTAATTCGAATCTAAATATTTTCTCAAATACTATAGACATTATTTAATTTTATGAAGAATTTATAAAATTTAGTGATTTATTCATTAACTCAGTTACCATTTTAGACAGGCTCTAAGAGCTCAGCGCTAGAACTCAGTGCCGTAAAAACCAATAAAATAAATATTTCTTCAAATACTGTTCAATTCAATTAAAATAATAAAGTTTTTATTATAGGAGATGATTTTTCCAAAAACGCTTCAGCTGCTTTCATCCGGAATGCGTGTGTATATTTTTCTTCTCGACATATTTAGCAGTTTAAAACTTAGTTCCAACTTTATATCCTTATAATCAAGTACTACAGTTGTTTTAATTATGGACTGAAATCATATGTAAAAAAAAAAAAAAAATGTAAAATGGTTAAAAAGTCTTCTGAAAATTGATTGTAATTTTTTATAGTCGTATCTCAGCGTTTAATTGCTAAGAAAAATAATAACTAGTAATTTGAGTATCCTAGAGTCTTGACAGGAATAACAATATTATAATTATTTTATTATGTTTCCGGTATTGGTATTAAATAATTTAATATTTCATGTTTAGTTAACCATAAAATCGTCCATACAAAATTTGTCGGGTCGGTGTCTTGTAGTTATTATTAGAATTTTAGTGCACAGAAGTGAGCGATGTTAGCTCAGTCTGCAAAACGCTTGGTTGCGGCTCGACGATGCCAACGATTAAATCTTAGAATGTTTAATCTTGACCTTGATATGTAAACGTGTTAGAAGAGCGCCTCTGTTCATGGAAGATATTACGTTGTGACTAATCAATGAAGATTTCTTCAAAAATTATTGACATCTCATCCAAACTATTGTTATTTTTATTACCTCATACGAAATAAATTGACGTAACGCTTGCGCTAATGATTTATGTTGGTGGGCGCTTTCCCAGTTAGGGGAGACATGCGGATAAGGTCAGGTCACATGGTTGATTGGAGCGAGAACACCATGTATTAATCACAATGATTTTTTTAAGGAGAACTACGTGAAAGTCGACATGAAAGGGTATATTAGGGTATAGGTACTAATCTCTTTCCCTTCTAGGATATACTATACGCCTCCCCTTCTAGCCCCTTCCAATCATTGAAGCTTAATATACTTCGATACATAGTATTATGTATTGAAGTATATTATGCGTACTTTCAATAAATGGTAACGGCATAGTATTGTATTATCAATAGTAACGGCAACACTGGACTATACCTTCATCACCTTTATTTTTAATCTATACTAATATCATAAAGGGCAATGATTTAATTTTTTGTACGTTTGTTTATATATTTGTAATGGATAAACTCAAAACCTACTCAATTGATTTTAAAATTTCTTACATAGATAAGAATAAAAAATCAGCGAGTAACGTAAGTTGTATATTATTTTTTTGAAAAATAAGAGACGCTTATGGAAATTACATACACATAAAGTGCTTTGAGTTACATTACTGTAATCAAAAATTTGCCTATTAAAGCTAATATAAAATACTAATAAAACATATATAGTATATATGTATCTTCCTATTTATTCGTGCGAAACCGGGGTGGGTTGCTAGTTTTAAAATAGAACCGTATTATGTGAGATACTTCTTAATATATTCTAATTAATAAGCCGGATATTATCGTGATTGAAATATTGAAAAAACTTCTTATATAAAATGTTACGCCAAATGTGCTGTTCCAAAGTATCGTATAGAAAAAGTTAATAGGCCTGTAATTTTATTTGCGACCAATCAGATTCTATATGTAGGTGTGATGCGTATAGGTCAAACCTCGGACTTGAAATCAACGATCAGCATTAAAATTTGATAAGTGTTTTAATTACCTATCTCCATGCCAGATACACTATTACTTAGATATCGTATTGCAGCCTATGGCTTGATTTTGATGATACAGCCCTTTGTACGGTTTGATTCAACCGCGTATTAGACATGTGATTCACATAGGTAGATATATTTTAATTTCATAATCACTGTCACTAGGTGGCTCTGAACCCTCGATTCAAAGTACCGTGTTAAAAAATAGTAGAATACATATTAATACATACATACATATAAATCTTAGGTTCGATTTCCGGTTTCTAAATTAGCCCATGTCTTAGTGTTTTGTAATAATAGAACATTATTTTTTTAATTTACCCCATATATTTTATTGTCTAACTATTCTATTATAATATTATTAATTCTATTATTCTATTGTCTTGTTCAGCAATTATCTGTTAAGATTACTTAAATGTTTATTTTAAATGAGGTTACGGATGAGGCGAAACTACGAGTACTTAATAACACCTAAATTAAAGATATAATAAATCTATTCTAATGCAAATCGATTAGGGCAATATGTGATGTATATATTATACTAATAAAAAAGTAAAATGTACAAGGATAACAACTATTTCATATGCGTATGAAAACTATTATACCTACTATTATTATAAATATAGCATACATACATAAATAACATTGCAAAATATGTAGGAAAAGCGAATGCAGGCGGCTCAGGGCCGTTCTTTATAATTGTTTATGGGAGAAAAGAGAGGGATGGTAGGCGAGGATTAAAGTTAAAAACAAATTATTACTTAATTTTTATTCAAAGTTTTAAAAAGTTCAAAGTTTATATATTATTATTATTTATTTATATAAGACAAAATATCGTCAGTTAGTAGGTATATTGAAATAGATAATCAATCCCCTTATTCACTTTTAGATGACCTTAGTAGCGCCTATTGTTTTCAGTTCGTTCAAAAACAACAAGGCTAATAAAAAATATAAATAATAAAACATTACATGTCGATATTACGCACATGATTTTTATGACGTAACTATTCTTAAATAGTAACTAATTTACCTATACATTATCACTTGTCAGCTATTTAGTATAATGACAATGAGAATTTGGTTGGTTGGGTTTAATTAGATTTTAAAGGGTATTAAAAATAATTTAACTTTATTCAATTTTAGTGGACCATATATCCTGTTATATATGTATATGTCTAACAAATTCACATCGACTATAAATATGCGGATTCTGGTAATCTAAGGCTGCTATAATAATATATAATAAGGTTTAAAAAATTATACTTATTATTTTTTTATCAGCGGATAGAGACCACTCTGCAATTATACTTTGTCTAATTTTACGATCTAATAGATTAATTTAAGCTGGATTTACACTATAATATTGATCATGGTTCGTTCTCTGTCCCATTTCGTTTTTATGAATTTATGAAATTATTAATGATTACGTAAGAAGATAAATGTGTACTTATTCATACTTACTATTCAATCTAATTCCGCGATCAATCTGTGTCTGAAGTGTCTCAACTTCATAATATTTTACCAGAACGAGATCATGCTGACAACGGACCTTGCTCGTTATTATCGTGTGTATTTAGATTCACACTAGTTTTAGACTAGTCTAAAATTATAGTATATTTATTTTTAGACATGTGGACTATCCGAGCGTTCCTACGATTACGGCATGTTGCGGATGATGGTAGAACGTTGCGCACATGCCCTGCTGGGACCACTCCGGTTATCTCCAGGGGACCGGTTGGGTCTGATTTTGCCAAACATCCCAGAGTTTGCAGTCATCGCCTATGGAGCCATGAGGGCAGGCCTTGTTCTGACATTCGCCAACCCACTGTATACAGCTGGTAGGACATTATTATTGTTATATGTTTTTCTTTAATGAAGCAGACTGGTAAACAAGTTATCGGCCCACCTGAAAGCTGCAACTGTCGTCTATAGGTATAAACAGTACTATAGACTAACACTTTACATAAATATTCATATATCCCCACAGAATACTCTGTTTAATTATTTATGCAAAAGTGTATTTGTATTAATAACATAAAAACAAGAACATAATAGATACAAACTGTACATGACGAATTCACCAAGAAGAGTTTCCAGGAGTAACTGCTTGGAGGTCAATCTATCAGGATGTTTCGTTAGATTCCATAACTATTTATCTTCGTCTCCCCCATATACGAGAAATAAGGTATATAACTATCTTTTTGAGGTTGCATAAAAACTATACTGACAACTATCTCTCGTCTGCAGTTGAGTACTTCATTACGTAGCCATTGTTACGGCAATTATAGGTTCCTGTCATTGGCATGACTCTGCTTATTTTCTACGCACCACCTAATCTCTTATTTTTCATAATAACAGATTAGATAAAAATATTTACGTGGAGTATATTTCTGAATCTCTTTCCTTGACTTTCGCTGTTATACATAATATATTTACCTTCATATTTCAACATGTACAGTTGATTATTTTTATTTTAGAGGAAAATAAAAAAAAAAAAACTTAGTGCCAGTCAGACTTACAAGGGAAATTCGAGGGTTCAAGGATTCTTGCCGTGGAAAATTGACGACTGCTTGCAAAAACGCAGTTTATAGGGCAATTGTCGTCGGAGTGCATGTGAATTGTCGATAAACCTACAAATTCTTGATACCAGAGGGACTTGTAATTGTTAAAAAACTTGAATCTAACAGTAAAGTTAAAGTTTAAATATTGTTGTTTACAGAGGAATTACGGAGGCAGTTTTCGGATTGCAACGTAAAGGCGATCGCTACTATAGAAATGTTCATGCCAGTGGCTCAGCAAGTGAGCGCCTCTCTAAAAGATTATAAAGGCACCATATGGGTTGGAGGAGAGGATGATGGTACCAAAGGTGTGTATATTTTAATGGGATATAATTTACCCATAGACCTTGAGTATGAATAAATTGTACCTTCTTATATTTATATCTTTATGTTTCATCGATTGAGGCCTTTATTTGTTGCAAGCATTCATTATTGGAGTGCAATCTGCTATCATCAAGCAGGTAAATCGTATACTTCATTGTCATCGTTGCTTTTTTTCTAAAGAAAAACAAATAGCATAAATATTCTATCGAAGGATAAAGATTCATAGTTTCTCCCTCAGTACTAACACGATCTATTAAGATGGAGTAAAACCTCGTAAGCCACAGAATAGAAAATTTATTTTCTTTCCGTTTTGTGCTGTGCGCTCAGTTCATATTTTGTATATTCGCCCTAATCTAACCTTCATATTCTGTTTTCTTTGGTCTTTTTATCAATTTTTTTTTTAATATTGATCCAGGAATCTTTGGACTCCGACCTTTGTTGATGGCGGATCACAAATCGGACCTGCCAGATTTGAACTGCGATGACGTTTGTCTCGTCCCGTACTCGAGTGGGACTACTGGCATGCCTAAAGGCGTGATGTTGACGCACAAGAACCTTGTTACCAACCTGAAGCAGGTTCAATGTCCCAGCGTTATGAAATATAAAGGAGAAAAAGGTGAGTGCATTCTTAACTGAAGCCAGAATTGTAGAATTGATCTCTTATGGGCATCCCAAGAAAGATGGCTTATTTCTACGTAACTAGTTCCAATTTTAAAATAAAATATCATAGGTGTATTATAATTATACAGTAAGGAATGTGTTAATTGAAACATTGATAATCTTTACTTGTAATTGCAAATACGAAAGTCGAGATACTTTTTTGTTTATTTCATAATTCTTGGCGCCTTAACGGCATAACCAATTACTGTGAAATTTGATATATACGTACTTACGTAAGCTAGTTTAGTAATCGTATCCGGATCAGTCGAACGAAGTCGTGGGTAAAGCTAGTATATATTATTTAATATACTTATAAAACAACTTTTTGCAATAAGAAAATATATTTGAAGGGCAACTACATGATGACTTAGTATAAAAGGTTCTTAAATTGTTTTCGTTCTAGTATTCATATTTCGTCGCCTTACCCGCATGAGAACAAAATGTATTATGGTACATGTACATATATATATATATATATATATATATATATATATATATATATATATATATATATATATATATATATATATATATATATATATATATATATATATGTATCAAATTTCACTGAAATTCTTTCAGCCATTTGTGTATGACCGAGTAATAAATATCTACAAAGAACATTCTGACGTATATATATGGTATATAAGTATGTATTATAAGCGTTTCGTCTTGGTATACCCATGATGGCTAACCTTGTAACTTTACAAAGTATACGGTATATTATTTTAAATTCAGTGACATTTAATTCACATTGTTTAGGAAAATTTGATTAGTCCAAGAGATTTTTAAAGAATTGAGCTCACGATTTCGTGAAATATCATGACAATCGTTTTCCCTTATCGTGTTTGTTTAAATTTCTTTTATATACTGTATACCTACTATCATGTAACAGTTTTCTTTTTATATTTTCCCTTTAAATTGCAAAAGGTATACGTGAATTTGTTTCATTTTGTTGTTGTATCAAATATCATAAAAAAATAATTATTTATTAGGTATTTCTAATTGTAAAAATATATATGTATATAATGCAGACAAATGGGATTATTATGTCTGAAAATCTATATTATCTTGATTGAATATCTTGATTATAATTATAAAATTGATGTGACAACTGATATGTTCTTATTAGTTGTCTCATCTATTTTTGCTACGAATAAAATAACAATACTTGATAATAATTACTTATGCAAGTTTCATGTTATGCTGTTTGAGTTAGGCGTTCATAATAGTAGTCCGATGAAAAATTTCAATACATTTACATAGTAGAATAGTTAACTGTTAGGTGCCATTGACCCTTTCCATAAATAAATGCTTTTCAGAATTTATATCGGTGACTATAATTTCTTTTGTGATTGAAATAATATTTTTAAATAAAAGAGGCGGAGTTCACAGGTGTACTGGTAGCTTCTGATTTTGTTTCAAAGTACGAAGGTGGCAAACTAGTATACATTTTGTCTGATGATAAATGGCTACTGTAGCCTATACTGTAGTTTCTAGGGAAAACCTCGGTAGGGAATTTATTCAGTCTGAGCGTTCGCGGAAGAAACCTCACGGTTTCAGAGGAGTTTCTGTGATGTACACGACCGTATACCGATGTACAGTGATGTACACGTCCATTTTGTCAACCACTAAACACATCGCCATTCTAGGAACATGTTTTATTCACATTAAGATTTTTGAATATTTTAGCACTTTAATTAAATATGTAGATTTTGAAATAAAAACTTTTATTTACTGTTTTATATATTCGTATTGTATCTATGTTAGTTTGTTACGCGATCACATTACTAATTCTAAAACGATTTTGATAATTCTTACAAAACTTTACAACACTTTACAAAACTTGTAGACATATCTAATTTCGCGTTCAAGCCTATTTTTTTTTGTGTATGTCATGCTGTGTTATCACTAATTCTAAATTGACTTTGCTAATTACTTTCACGAAACAGTCTTTATTTTTTTTATGGTTCCGTAATAATTTTATCAATCGACTTCAAAAAGAAGGAGGAGTCTCAATTCCGTTGTATGTATTTTTATGTTTGTCACCTCATAATTCTGTCAGTTCTAAACTGATAAGGAAAGTTCTTTTTTTATCTAAAGGAAAGAATTTTTTTTTATTACAAATTTGGCCCATAGAAATATCAAAATCGGTCCAGTAATGTAGTTTTCACAAATGAAGTAGTTATTTTTGAAATATTATAAATTATAACTTAGATATACTTATCTACGCTGTAATTTATTAAGTAATTTATTAAGTATTTTATAATAATACGTATGATCAGATTAGACCAATTCTGTGATTTTGCTTTTTTAAACAATTATGAAGGTTTATAAGAGACGGGAATTAATGCGATTATTTAGGTAAACTATGATAATTTATAATAATAATATATGATGTGAGACAATCAGTGGGTAGGAGAAAATACTTCTGCCTCAGAAGCGGAGATAGGACAGCGATCAGTCTACGAATAGACTACGACTGGTGTAACCTGCTCCAAATGTCGAGATCATTTTGGTAAACTGACATATTTTACCTAAATTAATTTTCGTATCTTATAAATCAAAAATTTATTATCAGGGTGTTAACAAAAATAACACCTACCTAATGTGCTATCAACATCCTATAAGCTATCAACACCTATAAGAACGCGGTCGAGTGCGTATACCCTCTTATTACATTATCTACTCTAGATAACGTATGGCTGCGTTATCTCTTGGTGTCTGTCTGAAACTATCGAATGAACTAATATAATAGGTTGTTAATATTTATTTATTTATTTAATACATAATATTGTACACATAAGTTATAAAAATATGACAGAGGTAAACAAAAGTACAAAGGCGAGCTTAACTCTGATAGAGTTTTCTTCCAGCAAACCCAAAATACCAAATTTTTTATAACAGCGCCTTTATGTCGTAGAATAATTTAGTACCTAGATAGATACAAGAAGTAATTAAAATCGTTTAAATCCTTCTAAAGGAATATTCTATTAGTGAAATTGTATATTTATGTCAAAAAATGCGCGGTGATTCAAATATAGCAGCTGTCAAGTTGGTATGTGAAACTCAAAATTTTTTTCATTATTTACTTAAAATGATTGGTTCAAACAGATCGAGAAGCAAAATTTTGAATTTTTTGGAATGGGTCAACGCGTTCAATTGTCAAATTAGTATGTATAGGGTAGCTATAGTTGGGTAAACAATGTAGAGAACAATATAGAGCTCTACACTTTCTGTCATTTTTGGACCCGTGCTTTTTCTTGCCTTTTGACATTTTAACGACTAAATCCACAAACTATTTGAGATGAATTACACATAGTACTTGAGATAAAAAAAATATCATTAGGTACCTTTTATTCTATAGTTTTAAAATTTGTCTCTAAATAGTGTAAAAAATGTTGTTGTCTACCTTGATTAGTTTCTTTACTTATTTCTGAATTACGCTTCGGATTCTGATACGCGTTTCACTGTCATTCTGATATTTTTGATATATGGTTTGTATGTGTAATACAAATACATACTAATTAAACTTTTATAAATTTTAATATGTTATTACAACATTACACACGTGCTAAGTCAGGGACAGAAATAGGAAAGCAAAGGATTGGTTGGAATGCATTGAGGGAAACCTATATTTGACAGGGGATCAGAATAAGGTGAATTGAATGAATGAGTAAAACCGGGGCGGGACGCTAGTAATATTATAAATGTCAAGGATTTTACGACAATCCTATTTAACACCGTCATATCATTAGAATTATTTTCATTGACGGCTTATCTCTGTGATATAGACGCCGGTGATAACGGGCCGGTCTGCCACGTGATTACCACACATTACAAGTACGACACACCTCCTACTAGCACAATAAGTTTGCTGTAATCCGCCGATAATGCGTATATAAAAAATGTATAGTTAAAGCACGTAGGCGTGTCTGTAATCTGCATATATTATCCATTTCCCATTCGTATTTCTGCCGTGAAGCAGTTGTGTTTGCATGGATGTGTTTCGATTTGAAGCGTGGGATATGGCGATGAAATTACATAACGCTTAGTCATCAGGAAGGCAACGCATGAACGGTATCATGGGCGACACAGTATACTCTGTTATATCCATGGTATTGTTCATGTCTGTAAGCGACGGTTACCACTTTCTATCAAGTGGGCCGTCAGCTTCTTTGGCATTCTAAGTTTATTTGAGGTTTTCTTAAACATGTAAATACTCATCAAAATTATTTTTGCCTGCCGTTTCCTTCTTTATTTTAACCTGATGTCATAAGGGATAACGGGTTTGAAGAAACACGTTTTACATTATTGTATTATTTATTGTCCAGGATTACAAATTATTGCTTTTTAACTTATCTATACGCGAACACGTCAGTTTAATTTAGCCATGTAAAAGTGTGACAGATTTTGATAAATGAGGTGTTATTTCATATGCATAATAATATACGGGCAAGTGTCCTTAGTAGAACATAAAAATATTTACGTATGATGTAGGTATATAAAAACAGAGTGACAACCATAAAACTCATGTTTATAGGCAACGGTTACCTCTTTCCATCAGGTGGGTCGTCAGTTTGTTTGGCGTTTTAAGTTGCATTATAAAGTGAATTATTTTTCTGCAAAATGATCGACATAACTTTTTATAAAAAGAGCATAGAATAATCTGAAAGGAAATAAGAACAAAAGATTTCTGAGAAATCTGTGTACATATATATAAACTAACCTCCTTTTTTAACATCTGTTAAAACGCAATAGCAAAATCTATAATTATAAATATGAAAGTGAGCTTGTTTGTTACTTCTTAGTACCATAATGGCTTAACCAATCACTAAGAGATTTAGTATACATGTATTGTAAGGGATGGAAAAGGATATAGGCTACTTTTTATCTCAGTTACGCTGACGAAGTCGTAGGTAAAAGTTAGTATAAAATAAAATCTATATTTTTTGA